GTCTCTTCCAACCCAAACCATTCCAGGGATGGGGCAGCCACAACTTCTCTGGGAATTCCATCCCAGCACCCTCACAGGGAACAATTTCTCCCCAAATATCCAACCTAACCCCACTCTTTCAATTCGACCCCGATGATGTGACATCCTGGGGGCAAAAATTAGAGCCCAGGAGGGAGCGGGGGCTCCTCGCAGCTCCCAGAGCCGTGTCCCCATCACCCCGATCCCCCCGTGCCACCCCGGGGTGCCCCAAAATCTGCCGCGCGCGGTGAAAAAGGGAGCCCCCCGCGGGGCCGCCGTGACCCCGACGTGATTCGAACACGCAGCCTTCTGATCTGGAGTCAGACGCGCTACCGTTGCGCCACGAGGTCCCGGCAGCGCCACCTCCGCCCTTCCCGCAAGAGCCTGCGCTCCGCCCCCCCCCGGAAACCGCCACCGGGATTCATCCCCGCGGGACTCCCCCCTCAGCGGGAACCTCCCGCTCCCGGGAATCTCCGTCTCCCGGGATTCCCTCGGCCCGTCCCGTTGGAGCCGCCGCCGCCTCCTCCTCCTCCCCCCCTCAGCCGCCTCAACGGTTTCCAAGCCGCCCGCCCGCCCCGCTGGCCACGCCCCCCCCGGCGCCTGGGCTGTACCACTGCCCCCCGGGAGGGGTGTCCCGGCGCCGCCTGGGGGCGCCCACCTGCGCGCTGAGGTGGAGGGGAGGAGAGATTCCCCCCCCCGCCCCGCTCTGGTTTGTCCCGGCCCCGGCCACGCCTCTTTTAAAGGGCCCGCGCCGGGAAACGGCCCGTGACGTGCGATGAGTTGGGTCGTTCTCGGCCGTTCTCAGCCCGGGCGGGTGTTACAACCTGCTTTTGCTGCTCATTTCAATGTGCTTCTGGCAGAGAAGGGGCCTGCAAGCAACCTGGAGAGGGGCTTTTAACATGGTATGGAGGGACAGGACAAGGGGGAATGGCTTCAAGCTGACAGAGAGGAACTTTAGGTTCAATATATGGAAGAAATTCTTCCCTGGGACGGTGGGGAGGCCCTGGCACAGGTTGCCCAGAGAAGCTGTGGCTGCCCGTGGATCCCTGGAAGTGTCCAAGGGAGGTTGGACGGGGCTTGGAGCAACCTGGGCTAGTGGAAGGTGTCCCTGCCCATGGCAGGGGGTGGGTCTGGAAGGTCCCTTCCAACCTAAACCCTTCCTTGATTCCATGAAAGGTCACTTCGACTGCCCCTAAGAGTGTCACCTTGTTTATAACCGTGGTCACCCTGGATAGAAAATACATACATCTATAAATATTTATATATATGTATTCTTATATATATATATAATTCATATATAATCTATATAGTTAGTAGAATTTTTATATTTATATTATATATTATTTTTATATATTTTTATATTTAGTAAATTTTACCCGAGATGCCAGCACTGGATTTCACAGCAGCTTCTGCTTTCCTTTTCTGTGTGTGTGTAAATGAGTGGCTTTGCAGCAGGGCTCTCCAGCTGCACACAGCTGGGAACAGGATTAGGGAACTCCATCTCTCCTTGTCTCCCACCACGATCCCACCAAACCCTTCTGCACAGAATAAAACCCACCCCGGAGGGGTCTCATAAATCCAGTCTATTCCAGCTGCTTCCCGGAGTGCTCGGACAGTTGGGATGGGAAAAGCTCCGGCTCCGAGTGCAGCTGGAGCCGGACAAACCCCCTGGAATATCAACCAGGAGGAGGCGGATCAATAGGCGAGTCTCAAAGCACAGCCGCGATGCTCATCTCTAATTTACAGCCTTGTCACAGCAGCGACCGCCGGGCTCGGGGGATTCACAGCTCTGGGATACCCGGGAAGAGCCAAAAGGGATCCGTCTCCATCATCTGCGCTCCAGAGTTTTCCCGATCCCTTCCCCGAGGACACGGATGCTCCCGGCATCCCTCCCCTGTTTCCCCCCCGGGCCAAATCCTGCTGCAGGGCTGCGGGAATGGGGAATATCCCAGGAGACGATGGGTGCTGTAGGAAAATCCTCCAGGAAAACGATGCTCCCTCCCCTCGGGTGCTCCCTCCCCTCGGCCAGCGAGGTTCCTTAACGAGCCCAATAACTACTCAAATAAATGTGGTTTTTTTCCATTCGACTTCAAAAGCCCCCGGCTGGGAGTCTTCCTGCTATCCCGGGAATGAAGGGCATCGTTGTGGGGCTGATTTATGCCTTAATGCCATTCTGCCCTTCCCCACATCAAACCCACTTCCAAACACTGGGAATACGGGCCTCTGGAAGGTGTATTTTGGGGTGTTTTGAAGAACCAGCTGAGAAAAGGAGGCAGCTTGTCCTGTAGCAAAAACCCTGATCTCCAAACGGCTCGAAAATCCACACTCTAAATATTCTTATAAATATTTTTTATTTATTTGTTTAACTCATATATATTCCTCTAGCATAGGAATTCCCACGGGAAGTGCTCTGCTCTGTGCGTAGAGACGTGTGTGTGTTTATTTACAAATGCCACATTTATTTTCCCAAATATACAGTACTGTTTTTCTATGGCTCCTGGGGCCGGGAAACTCCTGAGGAACAGGTCCCTTCCTGATGAAATCCAGGCAGTGGGATAAAAAAAAAAAGGACAATAGGACAATACCAAGAGGTTTGATCCCTGTCAGGCAGCATTAGGGGGATGTTGCAGGGATGGTTCTGTGCCTTTCCCTCTTTGTCAGGGATCGATACAGGTTTATTTCGGGCGGAATCAGGAAAATTTATTGGCTGGAGCAAAATCCCAAAGTAAAAACACTTAGATTTAGGCAGGGCTTTGTTGAGTCAGGACCTGCTGTGAGCCTGCCTTTGCCTGCTTGTGCTGGTTGGTTGTTGGGGTTTTTTTGCATAGGAAAAATCTGGAGAAACAGGAGAAATCTGAGTGGGGGGGTCCAGTCCAAGCTTGTTTCTGTTTAATTAATATTTCTGTAGACACCTCAGTGTCAGATTGTCTCTCTGGGTTCACACTGGCATAAAACAAGGGTCAAACTTGACCCACACCTTTACACTTGTAATAAACTGCAGAGCAGTGATTAATCCCAAGTATTAAAGTCCATCATGTGGTCACCACCACGAATCCTCGTGCAAAAATAAAGTTACATTCAAGAAACACACTTTTTGGGTTGCACCAACTTCCCTGGGGTTTTTTTGGTTGGTTTTTTTTTTTTTTGGCCCAAAGCTAAATCTGAAGGTCCTCACCAAGGACTCGCCAGGGCTGCAAACCCTGAACTCGGGAGGCTCTGCTGATGTGCAAAAATAGGAACAAGAACACGGTCAGCATTTCCTCCCAAAACAACACGAGCTTCCCCTGTGCCCACCTGGAGCTGCCCAAAGCTGCCTGTGCTTTGTCCTCAGAATAACATTCTGGAAAACGTGGCGTTTTGGGACAGCCACAAGTAATTTTGAGCTAGAGGGAGGCTCGGGAGCATCCAGTCCGTGTCATCCGGCTGCCCAAGAGCAGCTGGAAGAAAATCCTGGGAGGGAAAAAGGATGGCTTTGACCAGGTGACTTCTGGGGACAAAATAATAATAGTAATAATAAAAAAAAGTGGTTTTCTCTTGGCTGCCCCCCAGGATGCAGAGATTGCCCTGCCTGCAGCAAATACAGCTCATTGTGAGCCCAGAGCTCCAGGTCGTGGCTTGGGTGGGAGTCTGTCCTGCTGTGGATCATCTGCCTCGGGCTCCCCAGGGTTATTTTCTGCTCCTTTTTCACGTCTCCAGCAAACCCTTCAAGAATGTGTTGCCAGATGGAGAGTTCAAGCTGCAGTTTTTCCTTGGCTTGCCTCCCACAGCTGGTGCTTGTGCCCTTCCAGCTCGGTGCACAAACATTCCTGCAGCTCACACCAGACCCTGCACGCTCCTCTGGCAGGACCCCGCTGGCACCAGGACCCCTCCAGCACCAGGATGACTCCAACACCAGGACCCCTCCAGCACCAGGATGACTCCAACACCAGGAATCTTTCAGCACCAGGAACCCTGCAGCACCAGGATCTCTCCAAAACCAGGATCCTTCTGTCTCTAGGACCCCTTATTCACCAGGACCCCTCTGTTACTGGGACAATTCCAACACCAGGACCCCTCTGGCACCAGGACAACTCCAACACCAGGAATCCTTCAGCACCAGGATCTCCAAAACCAAGATCCCTCTGTCTCTAGGACCCCTCATTCACCACGACCCCTCTGTTACTGGGACAATTCCAACACCAGGATCCCTCCATCCCCAGCACAATTCCAACACCAGGATCCATCTGTCACCAGGATCCCTCCATCCCCAGCCCATCTTCCAAGGGGTCTGCACCCCCCACCCCCAGGTTTTGGTCCCCAGCCTGGCTGTTGTCCATGCAAACAAACATCTGGATGCTCTTTCCCTCCTTCCTTCCCTCCCAAGGAAGCCAAATTTCCAGGGGGAGCCACGCTGCCTGTCTTGGAGCGAGCCTGAGGCCCTGCTCTGCTCACTTGGGTCATTAAAACTGTTTTTTCCCACACCTGACCCCTTGGTCCAGGCAGCTCCTCGTTCCAGGGAATGTTCTGCTCCATCCCAGGGGTGTCGTTGCTTCACTCCAGACCTTTGGCACTGCAGGAACAGCTTGGGGTGCACGGGAAGGGGACAAGTCATGGGACACCCACCCCCAAACCCCAGTAGGGACCCAGGGCAGGCACTACAGGGAGAGAGGGCCCCCCCTCCCCTCCTCTGTGCATCCCATCATCTGCTCCAAGGGAAGTTGGATGCCTTCCTCAGTGTAATACGATTAAAGGAGGATTATTGCTGGTGGGAACAAATGCATCTTTTGGGAGCAGGGCTCTCCTTTCCCTGAGCAGGGGTGGAGGTGGAGGCTCTCTCCAGAGACCCTGGGAACCCATGGTGTGAGGGAACAGGGATTTGCAGAGATTCCAGCTGTACACTGAGCTGGATTGGTGATGGAGAGGACACTTCACCCCTTGCTGCATCCTTTCCCCAAGGATGCTCAGGAACAACCAGGACACGAGGGGTTGTGCAGCTTCAGGGGGGTCCCTGCACCTTCCTTCCTCCCTCCAGAGGATGGAAAAACCTTGGAAAAGCACTTGGAAACTACTGGATGACAGTTAGTAAGCCAGTGAGATTCATCTACTCCAGCATCGCTCAGGCCCAGGGGACTCTGGAGCAGAGAAGCAAAAGTGGGGTTGGAAGAGCCAAAGGCAGGAGGAGCAAGAGGAAATCCTGGAAAATAAGCAAAACTCCGAGCTTATAAAAATGCCAGGGGTTGTGCAAATGTGGGGGAAGAGAGAAGGAGACGGGGAGAGAGTGTTCTGTGACAGGAGCTGTCACGCCCCAGTCCTCGCAGGCTCCGAGCAGACGCTGCCCTATTAAAACGCCGCCACGGGAAAGAGAGAAACAAAACCCATTTTGCTTTTGCCCACTGCAGATCTGTCAGTGGGAGGATGGGGGGGGCCCCGAGGGGCCCGGGGGAGGGGGGGGGGGGACGCTCAGCTCTTGGCAGATTTGCTCCAGAAAAGCAAAAAAAAAAAAAAATCAGGCTGCGGTCTGGTGGGGAAACAACGTGCGGGCGAAAAAGACCTTCAGCCATAAATCTGGAGGTCGAGTCATTACGACGGGGGGGAATCAAAAAAGCACCACGAGCCGTTTTATGAGCACAATAGAGGTCAAGCCAGGAGCAAACCATGGTGGAAAACATATTGTTGCTTCCAGAGAGCTACATCCATCCAGGGAGGTGGGAAATTCTCTTCAAAAATAACTGCTTAAAGCTCGAGTGCTTCAACGTTCACATGGCTCCTGGTTCATTTTTTTTCGTGTTTTTCAATGCACATATAATGGGTGTGGGCGAGTGTCTGCCTGTCTCAGTTTTACGTGCTACATTCATTAAACCCCGGGCTTGGGAACCCCTCTCTGGAGGCAGGAATGTTCGAGACAGCTCATCCCAGCCCAGCCTGGGGGACTCCCACTGCAACTGGGAGAACTGGAAGCCCCTCCCCAGCTCCAGCCTCCTCCCCAGTGCTGCTCCAGAGACACAGAACCTCAATAGCTGCACATCCCTGGCTCTGTGATCCAAGGGGTTCAGCAGCACAGCAATGAACTGGGCCACTCTTCCTCACCCCTCAGCAATGATTTAGTTCCATCTGAGCACAGATCCCCATGATTTTCCTCCAAACCTCTGCTCTGGGTGCTCTCCTGCTGCTCTCACGGGGTGATGCCTGCTCAGATCATTAGCAGGGACCCCCCTTGTGTCCCCCAACCAAGTCAAAATGTGGGAGCATCAGCATTAACCAGGCTGGAATTTGCTGGGCTCGATGGTGACAAGTGAGAGGGCAGCTGGACAGGCTGCTCCCTCACAGGTCACCTCACATGTGTCCTCTTCCCTGCCAAAACCTGGAGTCCAGCTGGGAAACACCCACCTGGGGCTGCACCCCTGGATCCTACAGCTCACATGGTTTGGGATTAAAGTAGGGAAAGAGCAAAGTGTCCTGAGCTGCCCCAGCCCGGGTGTGACACACACAGACCACGCACAGCCCGTGTCCCCCTGCCCGTGTCCCACCTCCCAGCACATCCCACCCCAGTCAGCTGCTTTCCTGGGAAACAGGCACCCAGCAGGGAGGATTTAAAGCTCCTCAGCTGCACCTTGTGTTGTTATTGGTGCTTCTGGCCAAGCTCGGGTTCTCGTGCTAAATCCTTTGGATAAGAAAATAAAATAACAGCCGTGTTGGTCCTGGATGTTGGCTGAGCCAACAAATCTGCTCCCAAGGGAGCTGTCAGTGGCACAGACAGCTCTGTTGGCCGAGTGTGGGTCTGGGAGCACTGGGAAAACCCTGGAAAGGTCAAGTCTCTTAATCACAGGGGAGGATTTGTGCTCCGAGTGTGCTCATCCCCCACGGTGGGGGCTCCTCGGAGGTCTCAAAGTCAACACCCCCCCTGTGCCAACCAGCTGCCCCCAAGCATTTTCCCTTTCCAGAGGCTGCTCTCCAGCAAATGGGAGCTGCTGGTGCCTGGATGGGAATGCTGGGAATTCAGGGAGAGGGAACTGGGCACTGAGACCCAAACCCTGGGTGTGTTCAGGGATGGGGGACCTGTCACCCAGACCCAAAACCTGGGAGACCCTGGCTCACCAACACTCACCAGCTCTCCTGGGGCTGTTTGGAGGGTATCCCAGTGGGAATGTCTGCCTGAGACCCCTCGGGAAGGCACAGCATGCGGGGGGCTCCTGTATGGCTTTAGCAGAGGGTGGGAAGGACAGAGGGACAGGGTGGGGGAGGAAAGGGGGTTCCTGGGCACAGCCACCACAGGAAAGGTGGTGGCAGGAGCAGGACTAACCCTGGGGAAGAGCAGCTCCTGCCCAGCAGTTCTGGGCACTGCTTTTGGCCCCAGGCTCAGAGGGTCTCCACAGGGAGGTGGGAAGTGCAGTATGGAAGAATTTAAGGATTTCTGCCCTGGAGAACATGTCCCTGGAATGGATCTCAGGTCCCCCAAGCTCAGGAATTTGGTCCTGTTCACCAAAAGAGAACAACCTCCTGCTGAGCCTCATGGCCCAGGGGTGCAGGGGATGGGTTCCCACCCCGAGGTGTCCCCCCTGCCCATGGGGTGGGAGCTCCTGGTCTGCACTGGTCCGAGCAGGGTCCGTGTGTCTGGTGCCTCCAGAGCACTCCAGGGTACGGGAGCAGGAGGGCAGAGGCACGGAGAATGGCTTCCTGGACTCACAGACGACTGCTTGAGGCTTTAAAAAGAGAAACAAGCCCCAAACTGGCTCATTTTGTGCCTTCAGCCAGTCCTGCAGCAGCAGGACAACTTACCAGCCAGGGGCCAGCCCTGTCCAGGACTGGGATTCCAAGGTCTGGCCCCGGCTTTTGCAACCCTTTCCAGGTCTGTCTGTCGAGATTTGCTGGAGCAAGGGCAGGTTGGCTCGTCCAGGAGGGAAATCTCTATCCCCCCGGGATGCAGGGTCCCTCTGACCCCGAGTGCTGGGGTGGGATTGCTGCAGCTCCTGGGTGACACCCCCAACCTCTGCTTCTGCCTCCCGGCAAGGTCATTCCCGTGCCTTGGCTCTCCCCTGGCCACAACCAGCGTCTGGGAAGAGAAAATGAGAGAACGTGCAGGAGAAACGTGTTAGAGGAGATTAAGCAGCTCCCCCTCCCCACCGTGCTGTCCGTGAGCAGCTGCTCAGCCCCGGCTCCCCTTCCCCTCCCAGACACCTCAGCTCGGCCCCTGAGCCCCCCCGAGCCCCCCCGAGCCCGGGCAGGCAGAGGTGGTGCCCCTGGGGGCAGGTCCTTGCAGAGGTGAGGAGGAGGAGGAGGAGGAGGAGGAGGAGGAGGAGGCACCCAAAGCCCCCTCCCCCGGCAGTGCTGCCGTACCGAGGGGCCGGGCGGGGTCCCGAGGCACAGCTCAGCAGGGTCTGTCTGCTCCTCACACGGCCGTCTCCTGCTGGGCACTGGCCTCTTCTTTCTTCCTCTTCATCTTGCAGAAGCCATGGAGCCCGCAGAAGCAAGCGAAGGTGAACTGGGGCATCACCTGGAGCAGCAGGAGAGGCTCAGGAGCACCCCCGGGACACCTGGATGGGGACAGGGAGAGGAGTCAGGGCAGCTCCTGAGGGTGCACGGGCAGGATGGAGGGTTTAGAACAGACCCCCAGAACCACAAACCTGGAAAATTTCCCTGTACCAGCGCACATCTCCCCCCCTCCTCCCTCCCCCAGCCACGCTCTCCCAAATTCCCCAGCCAGCCAAAGGCAAGGAGATTAAAACTCCCTTCCCCCCCCTCAGCCCCTCTCCCAGGGAACAATCAGGACAGACGTGGGGACAGCTTGCAGCTCCTGGTGCATATGGAGGGCCTGGGAGGTGAGGAGCCCTGGGACAGCCCCGGCACAGGGGCAGCACCAAAGGTTCTGGCACAAAGAGCCTCAGCTGAGCTCTCCCAGTTCCCCTCTCTTTGTGTCCGTTTGCAGCAGATAAAATAATGCCCCAAAGCACAGCCCACATGATGGCCCAACAGCTGCAAAATGTAATTATGCAAATCAAAGGCTGGGGGTTTTTAAATAAATAACAAATCCTCGCAGAAATTCCGTCTGAAGCGAGACCTGCGTTTGCCCCCTGCTTTAATTTTTAGCTTTTCGCAGAAAAATAGAATCCCAGCCTGGTTTGGGGTTGGGAGGGACCTTAAAGCTCATCCCATCCCACCCCCTGCCATGGGCAGGGACACCTTCCACTAGCCCAGGTGGCTCCAAGCCCCGTCCAGCCTTGGACATTTCCAGGGATGAGGCAGCCACAGCTTTTCTGGATGAGCTTTTGCACAGTTTGCAGCCCTGATTTTGGCCCAGAACAGGCAGTGCTGGTGCTCAGAGGGAGCTGTGCCCGGCCCTGCAGTGCCCAGCAAGGCACATCCTCAGCACCACGGCCCTCCAACCCTGTGGAGAGCAGGGGGACACCCCCATTGGAGTTTGGAGCAGCCCTAATTCCCAGCAGGGGCAAATGGGAGGGAATTAACCACTGGGAAAAAAGCCAAAGCAGGTGGGGCCCGTGGCCCCCCGTGAGCCCCCCACCAGCGGTGCCGGTGCAGGGGGGTGATGCCACATCCCTGCCTTTCCACTTCCCCGCTTTCCAAGGGGGCCCAGCTGCAGCACAAAGCCAGAAACATCCCCTTTAATTCACTCCTGCCGCTGCCCCCCGTCCCCAGCCATCTGGGTACCTGTCTGGGAGCTCCCAAATTAAATCAGGCTCTACCTCTGGAGCTCACGAATAATGACAACGGGCTCTTTAATGAGCCTCCCGTTCTGAATGGCTTCCCGGCATAGCGGCAGGTCCCGGCGTCTCCCTTTGTGCTGCTGCTTTTTTTTTGTTGCCAGCCTGAGAATGGGATTTTGGAGGGAACGGCTGGTGGGGGGGTTTTTTTTGGGGGGGGGGGGGGGAGCTCAACTCCCACCCCTGAGCCCTCCCGGGTTTGCAGGGCTCCAGCTGGAGCAGAGCACGGGGAAGGGGTGATGGGGAGGGGGAGCCTGTTTTGGGGCCAGGACCCCCGGGTTTTTTAAACGCTTCCCTCCTCTGTGCAGGACACCCACCATCCCCACAGCACCATCCACATCAACCAGGCAAACCCCAGACCCCCCAGGGGTGCCCTGTGCCACCCCAAATCTGGCCGTGCCCGTCCCGGCTGTCCCCCCCACGCAGACACAAAGGCTCCCTGAGAGCCTGGGCGGTCTGGCTGGGACCCCAACGACCATTTAGGCACCTATTGATATATTTAGAGGAGCTTGTACCACCGGGGCTTTTCAGGCTGACCCTCTGCCTCCCATTCAGGCAGGGGACAATGATGAATGAGCCCCGGAGAATGGAGGCAGCCCAGCTGAGGCCGACGCTCCTGTTCTTCTTGAAAAGGTGGAAAAAGGATCCCTGAAGGAGCAAGGAATAATTAAAAAATAAATGAACTGGCTTGGGCAGTGCTGACAGAAGCCCTGCCTGATTTGCAAGGGCCGGGCATGCTCCACAGCCCCGTTGCTGCCCTTTCTATTCAGGGGAGAAGATCCTTTCTCGGATAAAACTCTGGCTGCAGCAGAGAGAAAATGCGAGAGGAGCATTAAAAATGTAAAGCTGGAGAATTCTCTTTAGTCAACTGCATAACCCCAGGCCGTGTTTGTCACTGTCACAGTGATGAATTGGGAGCTGTCTGCAATCAGCATGCTCACTTTAATAATGGCACTTTCCCCGAGCCCTAAAAAAAAATGTCTCTCTGAACCAGCTGGATGGAGTTTGTTCCTCAGCCCGGCGATTCCTGTTTCCCTGGGATTCGCTGGGCAGCTCTTGGCACCTTGGCTGGCAGCAGGAGCAGCTCCAGGAGGGAAGGTGTTGGGCAGGGAGAGCCTGGGGAGCAGGCAGGGGTGCAGGCAGGGGTGCAGGCAGGGCTCAGCACAGCCTGGCTGCAGGGACAGGAAGGTGCTGCCGGGCACCATCAGTGGGCACCAGACCCAGGGGTGGGATGCTCAGGCTCCATCAGTGGGCACCAGACCCAGGGGTGAGAGGCTCAGGCACCAGGATCTTCCATTCCAGCCGATTTTCTTCCCCTGCCTCAGCTTTTCTATTTCTGGGAAGCGCCGTCGAATTAACTTTTTAGCGACTTCGGGGAAAAAAAAAACAACAAGTTTTGCATTTGAAACCCTGAATTTCAAGGCTGCCTTTTTGCTGCCGGCGTGTCTCGGGCTTCCTCCCTGGGAAATGAGATCATTTGCAATGGAAATCGCTCCTGTATTTTTTGCAGGGAGCCGAATGGAATTAAATAATTTGTGACGAAACGCAGAAAAGTTCCCAGAATTTTGGTTTCATTTGCCTTTCATGATGGCAGGTCCAGCCACAGCCACAGCCACAGATGAGATTTTTAGGATTTAGGGATCACCAGCCTGGCTTTCTAAAATCCACTGAGCAGACACTCTTGGAAGAGTCCCCAGAGACACGGTTGGGACTTGCAAGGACTTTCTTCGGAAGCCTGGATGATGTGGGTGCTCCAGGCACGGACAGAGCTTTGCCTGGGACTTTTGTCCCTTCCATTTTGAAGCATCCTGAGGTTCAGGTCCTGCATCCCAGAGTGTGTCCCTGCATGGATACAACCCCTTTCCCACACTCCTCCTCCTCCTCCCAGCCACACAATCCATCCAATTTAGCTATTTGCCAGCCAAGCTTTCAAACTCCTTATTTCCCGGGGTTGCTTTTTATTTTTTCCCCCCACAAACCTCGGACATCTCTGCTGCTTACAACCAGTCCCAAGCTAAACCCGACTTCAAAGCAGCTTCTATAATGAGCAGCAGAGCATTAGAAACCCGACAACAGAGGAGCTGAGGCTGGGCTAAAACCGACCTGAAAAGAAGCACCATCCCTTTAAGGAGAGATAATGAACGGAGAAGATGTTGCTTGGCATGTTTGCAGAGAATCACTAATTAAAACATCGCTTCTGTAAAGTCTGCTGATCCCATTGATTCTTCCCCCCACACAGTTAATTTGCTGCTAGGAAGGCAAAGTCGCAAGGGTCCTCATTATAAAAATTTCACTGGCTGCAGCTAATGGTTGTAATTAATAGGTGCAATAAATTTCAAATGGGCAGCCGGGGTGTTCATTAGCTGCGGGCTGACTCAGCACCGGTGGCCTCACCAGTTACTAAATAACCCATTTCCAAGCAGACGGGAGGGGGAAGGTGCTCGGTGGCACAACTGGTGCATCCGTAATTCCCCGCCCAGGGCAGAGCTTGAATAAAGAATTCCCGGCCAGCCCCGGATTTGGCTCTTTTTGTCCCGGTGGTGAATTGTCTCTGTAAACCTCCCCTGGCCCCCGGGCAGCTGATGGGGGGGTGGGTTTTCCCAAAAGGTCGAGTGACCTGGATTTCGTGTGGGATCAGCACTCAAGGAACTGAACCCTCTGATGCAAAGGGTAAATACCCAGTGATGGTGTCACAGCTCAAACCCAGGCATGGCTGGGTCTGCCTGGTGAGGGTGTGGGTTTTAATGCCCTGGTCTTTCTCTGGGCATCCTGTGCCAAGGCTGAGCTTTAAAATCCCCCCCAGGCTCCCCCTGAGCATCATTCCCTCCATGGAAGGTCCCAGTGCTGCACCCCAACCCTCTCGGGGCTGGGTGCTGTCACAGCTTTGATTAAAAACTGCAGCTTTTCAGTTCGTTATCATCGGGTTGTAATTAAAATATCAATAACTGGCACACTTTTCCCCCAGTTATCTCCCGGGATTGGCACCCACCGGGCTAGGTGACCCAGGAGGAAGGTGATGCTCTTTCAAATCATCATCGAGGCTGCACAGGGACAAACCCCATCCCAATCCCTGGCAGAATTTGGGAGCTGGTGCCCTGGGGCTTCACGTGCCTGAAGCCAAAATTACTTGTGCTGCCACGAGGGGTGTCCAGGGGCCGATAGAGCAGCACAGGGGCACGAGGCTGCCATTCCCCCTCCTTGGACAAGCCTGTGCCTCACCCAGCTTTGGGATACGGGAGCTCCACACCCAAGAAGCCCGACCGGTGGATGCCTCGCTCATTAATGGCGGTTATTATCTGTAATTAGCAGCTCGTCCTGCCCTGCACATTCACTCCTGGGAGCTCGGGAAGGACCAAGGAATGCTGGAAGGGTCCAGCCCCGAGTGTTTTTGGACACAGGGCTGCCCGGGAGTGTCTGTGGGTGGCTCCTCCTCGAGCTGCTTTCTTTAGACCAGCCATGGGATGAACTGGGATTTCGATTGCTGCCTCCTCAAAAAGAGCTGCGTGCCTCAACTCCCAACGCTGCTTTGAGAATTCCAACCTGCTCCACTGTTTTATTTAATGCCATGAATCCTTTATAACCCAGGGCAGCCGAGGGGCTTGGCCGTGCCCAGCCCTGGACGTGGGCAGCGATCACAGAGCTGTGCTAATTGAAAGGTGGCTGGAGCTGCTGCTGGGAGGTGGATGCCAGACAGGCTGAGAGCTCACCTGGTGCTGGCAGCATCTCCTCCTCACGCTGGACCTTTGCCAGGGGTCCCTGCCAATGCCTTCTGCTTTCATGGGAACACTTGTCCCATGCGTGTCCCCTCGGGTGTC